TCCAGCCCCGGCGCATCCCCCCGAGCGGCGCCACCCCCCCCCATCCCCCACGCCCGTCTCCCCGCTCTACGCAGCCCACGCGCATCAACAGCTGGCCATGCCCATGAGTGAACTTGAGCGCGCACACGCCTCTCCACGCTAGGCCGCCTACGCGCAGCTGCAGCGCACCGCCGACCTCTTCCTCCGCACCGCCAGGTCTGCCCCGGCCACGCGGCTGCAGCTCGAGCCGGACCAGCTGGCCGCGCTGCGCGGGCCCTCTAGCGACCGTACGAGGTGCGGCGAGGGAGCGGTGCGCCTCCTCTGGGAAGGGTCTCGGAACGCGCCTCTAGGCTGCTCGCCAAGCTCTGCTGCGCGCTCGACGAGCCCCTCGCCGCCTACGAGCATGTGCGGGCGCGCTGCGCCGCGCCCGGCCCGCGCGAGGCCGCCTCGTGTACGAACGGTGGGTCATCCAGTCATGCATTCCTCAGCAGGCGCTCTGCGCGCACGCGCCGCGCGAGCCTGCCTCGTGGGCGCTCTTCCATTGCGTTGCGGCGCGCGCGAGACTCAAGCGGCCCGACGAGCGATTGACTTGTGACTCGTTCCCTCTCACCGGCCTCGTACACCTGTCGGCGGTGCGTCACAGGCCAGACGAGCGGTGGACACTCCGCCTGCTGCTCAAGCACCAGGACTCGCCGCCGATCACGCTCGCCGTCGCGCACCGCTGCCTCATGGCGGAGCTGCGCGGGCGGGGGCAGGCGCTTGCCCTGTGGACGGCGTCTCTTCACGCGTGCCGCTTGTGAGATCAGGCGCGCTCCTTCGACATGGCGGTCGGCGAGTACCACGCGCTGCACGCTCGCCGCCCGTCCGAGCCGCTGCTGCCGCTCTGCCTCGCCGCCTGCAAGCTGCAGGAGAGCTTGTCGCGCAAGAGCAAGAGCGCGACGCGCGGCCACGCCGCGCTGGTCGCCGCTTCGTGGCTCAGCGTCTACGCGCAGACGCGCAGCGCCACGCACCCGCAGGAGCGAAGACAGCACCACCACCACCCCAACCCCCTCACACACCTCGCACACCTCACACACCTCACACACATCACACACACACACACACACACACACACACACACACACACACACACGCACACACACACACACACACACACACACGCACACACACACACACGCACACACACACACACACACACACACACGCACACACACACACACGCACACGCACACCGCGCGCGCGCGCCGCGCGCGCCACCCCCTTCTCGCACGCCGCAGCCGCCGCTGCAGCTGCTGACGCAGCCTCTCGCCCTCCTCCTCCTCCGCAGGAGGTTGCGTACAACTTTGGCCGCGCGTACCACCACCTCGGACTCACGCACCTCGCGGTGCCGTACTACATCCAGGCCCTCCTCGCGCGCCCCGCCGCTGAGTGTGTGTGCGGGAGAAGCCATCACCTCACCCCTCCCGCACCGGCATCCAGGCCCTGCTCGCGCCACCCGCCCCGGCCTCCGCCGACGCGGGCGCCGCCGGCCCCACTGAGGAGGGCGGGCAGGACGTCTCCCGCGAGGCGGCCTACAACCTCGTGCGCATCTTCCGCGCGAGCGGCAACCACGACCTCGCGCGCGAGCTGACGCGCGCCTTCCTCGCCATGTGAGCTCAGTGGCACTGCCAGTCCTCACTGGCTCCCGGTGGCCATGGCTCCTGTCCTATGCGTGGGCCTCTAATGAATGGCGTGAAAAGAGAAAGAAGGCCTCAGTGGCACTGGCAGTGCGCAATGTACCGTTCTGAAAAAGCATAAGGCCCGTCTCTGTCTCGGCCGACCCCACTGTGTACGCACACGTACTCCGTAGACACCTCTAGACGTACTGTACTGTATGCACACACGTACACTGTATACACAATACACACACGTACAGTAGCCCGCTAAAAAT